AAAAAAATCCCTCCGCTGCATTGTCCTGTGTTACTTTGGTTTTGCGTTGCGTCAGCACATTAACATCTGTACGATTACGACAACGTTCAAGTTATTTCTAGATAGAAACTCCGTCTACTCGACATCGAAATGTTTCGTTCATGCTTAATTCACAGGAAAAGTGAGCAATATAATCTATTGTTCACAAAAAGTCAGTGAAGGGCAGCAAATGTGTTGCTAGCTATTGAATAAATAACAATACCTTTGCTGCCCTTCACGGACTTTTTTACACTATATTAGCAAACCCACACTAGCACCAGAAGAGTTTGGAGGATCAAAGACCATGCAAGGATGAATAGTCAGCTCAGATTGTCGTCAAAGATTTCAAACACCTGTGATCTTCGAGTGCGACTTCCGCATCTGCAGCTGCAATAATCCGACATCGGCAATGCACGCGCACCCTGGTGAACAATTCTAGACTTACATTAGAAGACAGTTAAAGGTTTGCACGTCGTTATAGATGAAAATATTATCTTTTAGAGCGCCTGCCAGGCGGTTTCAATGCGTAGCTGGACGAGCTTGTGAGATAAACCTTTGTTGCTTACTTCCTGCGGCGACGGTGAGCTTAAGTACGAGCACGGAGTGCCCTCGTCCTTCGTCGGTGCGAGTGCGGAATATCTGAGCTAAGGTGGCTCCCCGATTGCTGCGGGTGGAGCCGCTTACCTAGTTTCTGGGATGACGTCTCTGATTTAGGTGTGCGCCTGCAATCTGAACTGCGGGAGTCGGACCGATAACGGTAGACAGACGGATGCTGACAGACAGCACCTAAGCCCCTTCGTTTCGATCAATAAACCAAGGTAAGGGGTGTTAGGGAACGACCAAGGATGCCAAATTATATGGCGTTTGTTTTCTGGGGCTCATCAAACTTTGAACGTACAAAGTAGATATCTGAATAAACGGTTGTAGGTCGCACCTCCTCTAAAATCTCTTAGCGCTTATTCTCAACGCTCAGAAAAAAATGGATTTTAAAAAAAATCACACACAAATTAAAGGTTAAGCCTCTAAAGCGCCTAGAATTCTTTATTTACACAGATCGACGTGCATCTCGCGATTAAGATCAGCCGCCGAGATATCGTGCAAAACCTGCTCTTCTACCGACGTACAACATTGATTTGATTTTATGTAAGTCCCTCTCACAATTAAACTCCGCCAAAATTATATCGCGTCGCCAAGGAATGAATAGTCAACAACTCTCGTTAGCCTTGAAGCCGGAGCCCAGCAAACAGTTAAACGTCGACAATCACTCATTATCAGCTAGCCTAAACAGTCGACCAATTACTCCCCAATGTAGATTATAAAAAAAAGGAAATGTATTCACAAGTTGAATGATACTCTGGTGTGAAGAAGCTTAGAAGTTACTCCGGAGGTGGCGGTTGGTCGCACCATCGGCTTCAGCCGAGACTCCAGTGCCATCGTCCCCGCCACGACCTGGCTGATCGCCATTGTCAGCGTTGAGCTCGACGCTCAAGTCCCTACCGAATGCGGGCAGAGTCGGGACCAGCGATGAAATAATTTTTGGCAATGTCTGAGCAACAACAGGAGGCAACGTCGATACCAGCGATGAAATAATTTGTGGCAGTGTCTGAGCAACAGGAGGCAACGTCGGGACAATCGGAGGCAGCGTTGGGATAAGCGGAGGCAATGTCAGAACAAGAGGCGGCAGCGTCGGGATTACTGGAGGCAATGTCGGAATAAGAGTCGGCAATGTCGGAATCAGTGGAGGCAATGTCGGAATCAGAGTAGGCAGTGTCGGAATCAGAGTAGGCAATGTCGGAATCAGGGTAGGCAGCGTTGGTATAATGTTGGTGATCACATCGATAATATCTTTGATCGAAGGAACAGCCGAGACTCCAGCCCCGGCATCCCCGTAACGACCTGGGTGATCATAGGCGCCCAGGCGCCTTAGGGTGGGCAGCGTCGGCAAGACAGGGGGCAGCGTTGGAATAACCGGAGGCAATGTCGGGATAACCGGGGGCAATGTCGGAACAACAGGAGGCAGCGTCGGGATTACCGGGGGTAGTGTTGGGACAACTGGTGGCAGCGTCGGAATAAGAGGAGGCAATGTCGGTATAATGTCGGTGATTATCGGAACAATATCCGAGATCACAGGAACAATATCCGAGATCACAGGAACGATGTCGGTGATCACAGGAACGATGTCGGTGATCACAGGAACGATGTCGGTGATGACAGGAACAATATCGGTGATGATAGGAACGATGTCCGTGATGACAGGAACGATGTCAGTAATCACAGGAACGATATCCGTAATGACCGGAACAATATCGGTGATCACAGGAACGATGTCAGTTATCACAGGAACGATATCCGTAATGACCGGAACAATATCGGTGATCACAGGAACGATGTCGGTGATGACCGGAACGATGTCGGTGATCACGGGAACGATATCCGTGATGACCGGAACGATGTCAGTGATGACCGGAACGATGTCGGTGATCACGGGAACGATATCCGTGATGACCGGAACGATGTCAGTGATCACAGGAACGATATCTGTGATCGTCGGGCCCTCACTTCCGGATTCGCTTGCACTAGCACTGTCCGACGTGCTGCCGGACAAGCTTGCGTCGACACTTCCGCTCTCACTGCCGTCGAGGCTGCCGGATGAACTGGAATCGTTATCGCTACCTGCGCTCCCCTTCGAGCTACACGGCAAGCTTGTATCGACGCTGCCAGATACACTAGAGTAGACACCACCCGCTTCGCTGCCCGTCGTGCTGCAGGGCACACTTGTATCGGCGTCAACACCACCTTCGTAATTTCCTGGCGTGGAGCTACCATAAGCGCCCGGCTCCGTGCCTCCGTTCTCGTTGCTGTAATAGTTTCCATTCTGATCGTTGTCCGAGTACGGACGTGGCGTACCGACGGCGTACGCCGATTCACTGTTGCCGTAGTTGGTAGGAGCGTTATAGCCACTCTCGCCGGCATAGCTATTGGGAGTCGTGTAGCCACTCTCACCGGTATAGCTACTGGGAGGCGCGTAGCCAGTCTCGCCGGCATAGCTTTTGGGTGGAGTATAGCCACTCTCACCGGCGTGGCTATTGGGAGGAGTGTAGCCGCTCTCACCGGCATAGCTGGTAGGAGTATATGCGCTCTCTCCAGTGGAAGCGTATGCTCCAGCAGGGATGTCACCGTAAGCACCGGTGGTGACGCCAGCTCCGTTTGAGGGCACCGGGATACCAGCATTTGTGGTGGTGACTACATCATCTCCATTCGAGAGAGTGGGGATGGCCCCGTTTGTGGTGGTGACCGTATCACCTCCGTTAGTGAGATGAACGATGTCACCGTTCGCGGTCGTAGCGATGTCCCCATCCGTTGTGGTGACGATATCGTCGCCATTCCAGAGCGCGGTGGTACCAACGTCAGTGCTGGTGATGACCCCACTATTGACGGTGGTAGTAGCGACGCCGGCTTCGTTTGAGGTGGAGGTGGCGTCACCGTTGACGACGCCTGAGTCTAAAGCCCCGCTGTTGCCCCTTAATAGACTAGGAGCGTGGCCACTACCGACCAAGCCATCGCCTCCAGTAGCGACGGCGCCGTTTTGGTAGGAAGCAAACTGGCCTTCGACTGTGGTCGGAGTATAGCCTTGAGCCCCTGATTCTGGTGTAATCGAGCTGCTACTTTTGGTGTACGAAGTGGTCGGGACAGCTGCGTCCGGGGTAATCACGTCGCTAGCCACCTCGCACTCGACCGCACGAACACTACCGGCATGAGCGGAGAAATCGGAGAGGGCGACCGCCACAGTGAACAGTCGGAGGAACGTCTTGCAGGAAAGCATATTGTTGCTGTTGCTCAAGATGTATAGCAAGCTAGTGAACTTACACCGGTACAGGTATGTACAGGTCGCGAGGAGGACTCGACTGGACCGGAGAAAGTTGGTGAATGAGATCGGACTTGAGCTCCGATGTGCCTACCACTTCTTGTAAATCGAACGGGCGCCACAAGTCATATCGCCTTTAATCTCCTCAGGAGACAACTCCCCCCCCCTTTAAGAAGCTCATGCTGAACGAGCTGACAGAAACCACTGCGAAACACACAACGTCCTTCCCTTTGGTCGGCATCGTCGCCTGTATCACGTCGGCATTCGAAGTAACCGGTTAGCCGTTTCACCTCCTTGTGTCTTGACCCCAATTTTGTTTTGGTTTGATGAGGTGTCGCCTTTCAGGTTCATTTTCTGTCCTTAACATCCCTCAAAGCTCGCTTTAGGCCTACATTATGTTGTTCAGGAAGATCCAGCAACCGCGACGTTATCAACAGTCAAAGTCTGACGAGCTCCAAAAAATAGAGGTGTAATCAACGCCATCTAAGTTGGCTACACTGCCGTTCCCCTTCCTGTTGGTTTTGTTACATGTAATCGAAACGCAGCGGCGCAGCCCCGTCTGAGGCGCTGCCTGTCTACCGTTATTATTTATCCTTGTACGGTCTTTGTCAAAGACTCTTTGATGCTCCCAAGTCTCTTTAATCTGAGATCGCAGCTAACTCGTAACCGCTTTGTTAGCTCGTGTGAGAGCCAACTTCAGTGAGGCACTGTGCTGTGCTGTACAGACCAGTGCGCTCTTTCAGAGGTTTACAAAAACTACACCTTTTTTGTGATCTCCTACATGTTGATCAACGGCCCGACACCACCGCATCTCGTGGTAGAGATCAACCGCCGAGATATCATCCTCCGCCAACGTACACCAATGATTTGATGTTATCTTAAGCTCCCGTATCATCTTTCTTAATGTGCGGTCCCGCCAATTGTGGATTGAATGATATCGAGACGCACCTTCGCCAAGGAATAACCAGCAAACTCTTGTTAGCCTAGAAGCTGCAGCCCAGCAAACAGCCAAGCATCGACAAACACTCATTTCCAGTTAGCCTACACAATGGACAGCGCATATTAAAGAGAAGAGAATCTATTCACAAGTAGGAATGCTACTTAAATATGGAGACGTCTAAACGTTTTCGCGCAGACGACGTCCGAATAGGTTCGGAAGTAGAGGCAATGTCGGGATAACCGGAGGCAGCGTCGGGATAAGCGAAGGCAATGTCGGAACAACAGGAGGCAGCGTCGGGATTAGAGGAGGCAATGTCGGAATTAAAGGAGGCAATGTCGGTATAATGTCGGTGATTATCGGAACAATATCCGAGATCACAGGGACAATATCCGAGATCACAGGAACGATGTCGGTGATCACAGGAACAATATCCGAGATCACAGGAACGATGTCGGTGATGACAGGAACAATATCGGTGATGATAGGAACGATATCGGTGATCACAGGAACGATGTCGGTGATCACAGGAACGATATCAGTTATGACCGGAACGATGTCCGTGATGACAGGAACGATGTCAGTAATCACAGGAACGATATCCGTAATGACCGGAACAATATCGGTGATCACAGGAACGATGTCGGTGATGACAGGAACAATATCCGTAATGACCGGAACGATATCCGTAATGACCGGAACAATATCCGTGATGACAGGAACGATGTCGGTGATGACAGGAACAATATCCGTGATGACAGGGACGATGTCCGTGATGACCGGAACGATGTCGGTGATGACCGGAACAATGTCAGTGATGACAGGGACGATGTCAGTGATCACAGGAACGATATCTGTGATCGTCGGGCCCTCACTTCCGGATTCGCTTGCACTAGCACTGTCCGACGTGCTGCCGGACAAGCTTGCGTCGACACTTCCGCTCTCACTGCCGTCGAGGCTGCCGGATGAACTGGAATCGTTATCGCTACCTGCGCTCCCCTTCGAGCTACACGGCAAGCTTGTATCGACGCTGCCAGATACACTAGAGTAGACACCACCCGCTTCGCTGCCCGTCGTGCTGCAGGGCACACTTGTATCGGCGTCAACACCACCTTCGTAATTTCCTGGCGTGGAGCTACCATAAGCGCCCGGCTCCGTGCCTCCGTTCTCGTTGCTGTAATAGTTTCCATTCTGATCGTTGTCCGAGTACGGACGTGGCGTACCGACGGCGTACGCCGATTCACTGTTGCCGTAGTTGGTAGGAGCGTTATAGCCACTCTCACCGGCGTGGCTATTGGGAGGAGTGTAGCCGCTCTCACCGGCATAGCTGGTAGGAGTATATGCGCTCTCTCCAGTGGAAGCGTATGCTCCAGCAGGGATGTCACCGTAAGCACCGGTGGCGGTGCCAGCTCCGTTTGAGGGCACCGGGATACCAGCATTTGTGGTGGTGACTACATCATCTCCATTCGAGAGAGTGGGGATGGCCCCGTTTGTGGTGGTGACCGTATCACCTCCGTTAGTGAGATGAACGATGTCACCGTTCGCGGTCGTAGCGATGTCCCCATCCGTTGTGGTGACGATATCGTCGCCGTTCCAGAGCGCGGTGGTACCAACGTCAGTGCTGGTGATGACCCCACTATTGACGGTGGTAGTAGCGACGCCGGCTTCGTTTGAGGTGGAGGTGGCGTCACCGTTGACAACGCCTGAGTCTAAAGCTCCACCGTTGCCCATTAGTAGACTAGGAGCGTGGCCACTACCGACTAAGCCATCGCCTCCAGTAGCGACGGCGCCGTTTTGGTAGGAAGCAAACTGGCCTTCGACTGTGGTCGGAGTATAGCCTTGAGCCCCTGATTCTGGTGTATTCGAGCTGCTACTTTTGGTGTACGAAGTGGTCGGGACGGCTGCATCTGGGGTAATCACGTCGCTAGCCACCTCGCACTCGACCGCACGAACACTACCGGCATGAGCGGAGAAATCGGAGAGGGCGACCGCCACGGTGAACAGTCGGAGGAACGTCTTGCAGGAAAGCATTATTGCTGTTGGAAAAGTGTATACCAAGCTAGTGAGCTTCCGCAGAGATCAGTATGTACAGGTCGAGACGAGGACTCGACTGGACCGGTGAAAGTTGAAGAATGAGATCGGACCTGAGCTGTGAAGTACCTACCACTTCTTGTTAATCCAACGGGCGTCACAGGTTATATCGTCTCTAGCCTCCCCAGGAGATAACATCCATTTAAGAAGCTTATGCTGAACAAGGGGTGAACCGATGTGAAACACACAGTGTCCTTTCCTTTCGTTGGCACCGTGGCGTATACCATGGCGACATCAACAGTAACAGTTGCGCTGTTTCAAACTTAGAGTATTGGCACTTTGCACAGTTAGTTTACAAGAATCTCTAAGTTGAAGATGTTTTTGCTTCCTAGGCCCTGCGTGAACGTAGGGGTGAAACCAAAATCTGAGGTATTGCCTGTCAGCATTCGCCTGTCCCCATGTTAAAGGTGTTTGCTGGCCCCAACGCTGTAACGTAGTATAATTTGATATCACAGTAAGCTCGTAACCGCTCTGTTAATACATGCTCAACGTACCCCAGCGATAGATGGCATTGCATTAGAACAGCCTCCATGCTCAACGTACCCCAGCGATAGATGGCATTGCATTAGAACAGCCTCCATTTCTATCGATCAAATTTGCATGCAGCTAGTGACTTGCTCAGGATGGGAGACGAACGTACAGGATCGCTTTCTTTCTTGGAGAACACACACCCTTCGGTTATTCTAGTAATATCCAGCTTCTAAATAGTGTATTGTACACGTGTTAACGAGCTGGCCCGATGCGTTAGACGCGGTAGTACAGTACTAGTATATCAGCGCACACAACACAGACTCTACTTGCCAATCTCATATTTTTCCAACGAACCTCAACAAAACGTCGTATGAACCCCTCAGCTTACGCGAACCTGGCGACACTCCCACTGGCCTCGAGGCTGCCGCTCTGCAAGCAGCACGACGTACACAACGCGTCATCGTCATCAATCCTGTGCAGTCAAGTTTGACTCAAACATCAGCCAGGGGACACGCAGGCGGTGCTAAAGAGCCACGGCACGCGTGAAACAGAGGACCCTCCGTATGCGGCGACGTGCTCAAGATGGTCGAGGCTCTCGATTTAGATCAGATTTAGTTTTCGCCTTTTTATGTGGAGACCATGCGCGGATTTTACTGATGCTACCGGTATACTTCGAAATAAACGCTCGGTACCGGAAGAAGCACACAAAAAGTGGTTGGACACACAGCCGTTAGCCACATTACACTAATGTTCGTCACACTAATGAAACAGTTGGTGGCTCTCATAGACATCCGGTATCAAACGATATCATTTTTTTGGCTGCTGATGTCCTACAAAGAGTTTTTGGGTACACCCTGGCTTACATTTGTAGAGACGCTGGCCCACTGTCAGCATGGGTATCGTCGCTCTTTTAAAATGCCGAAGCCCAGTGTGCTTCATAGCAATACTAACTGCTTGGTTTGTTTGCTGGATGCTCTTTCATGGGATGTTGGGCAAGCTAAATTCTAAAACCAGACGTCACGAAAGGATAATTTATAGGTTGTGGTTGTTGTGGTACATGCCCATAAATAAATTAATAATTCTTGATGTAAGAATGAGACAGCTCAAAACCAAATGACGAAAATAAAAGCCTGAGTTTGACAGCGTATTCGATAGCGAGATCGAGCTTTACTAAGCCCAATACTACCATCATCTGGTGCAGTTTATTGAATTTATACCGGTAATTCAAGCTTTTTAGCCTGTTTTAAACAGGCACTTAATTAAACTGTTTTTTACGGACTCCCGAAAAAGCTTATTTTTATTTCTCCAGTCCCCCATCGAGCCCCGTCAAATTCGTTAGAAAAACTGCTTGTAATAGTCATCTGAACGTCAAGTCTCCCATCGGGGGTCTCGATCAACGTCTGGCATTTCCGCTTCCTTCTCGAGAACAGCGCAGCAAGGGGACGTGCAGAATGGGTAATGGCGTGTCCAGTGAGATGGAAATTTTTGCCGAGGGCGAACTTGAGGCGGAGCTCAAGCGTCTTGGCGGCACAGGCGATGCAAGCGTCAAACAACTCTTGGGCAAGGGCTACCGTGACGTGGTGCAGTTGGTGATCCGCCCGAAGCGCGCACTATACGACATTCACGAGCTCGGACTGGACCGCTTCCAGGTCGCCGAGCTCTCGGTGGACCCCACGCAGGGCGACGTGACGCAGACCCGACGCAGAGACTTTGACGTGCTCAACGAGCGCGGTTTGCGGGTCCGTTGCTCGCACTGGCAGCTCTTCGCACAAGGCAGCAACACCCCAGCTGCCACGCCCTGCCTTATCTACCTGCATTCCAACGTTGGCTCTCGCCTTGACGCTCTGCGTGTGCGTGATGCAGCGCTGAAGCGCGGCTTCTCCGTGCTGGCCTTCGACTGCTGCGGCTCCGGGCTATCGGACGGCATCTATGTGACCATGGGCTGGAACGAATCGCTGGACCTATTTGCCGTGCTGCAGACTGTGGAGAAGGATGCGTCCGTCTCGGAGATTTGCCTGTATGCGCACAGCATGGGGGCGTTCCCTGCTCTGACTAACGTTGCCCTTCGAGCAGCTGGAGCGGCAGACAAGAAGATGCAGTCCAAGTTGGAGACGCTGCCCTATGCTTTGCGAACGGGACCAAAACTCTTCAAACCCATCCGCGCTATTGTGCTGGACAGCGGGTACGCCTCGATGAAGGAGGTGAACGAGGGAATTCTGCGTGAGATGCAACAAGAAGGTTTTCCCGTGCCCAAGGCGGTGATGAAAGTGGCTGTAGCTGCTATCAACAAGAGCGTGAGGAAACGTACTGAAGTGGACATGGAACTATTGCGGCCTGTGGACTTTGTGGAGCTCTGCTATGCCCCCGCGCTCTTCGTGGCGGCGGACAATGACCGATATGTGTCCACGGAGCAGAGCAACGAACTTGCTAGCAAGTACGCAGGCCTGGCCAAGATCCTGCGTGTGGAAGGAGAACACTACGACCCACGCGAGGCCTCTACATACACAAAAGCCGTCGACTTTCTCTACGACGCACTGCATCCCAAGTCATAGTAAAAATGTACTGAAATAGTATGTGACACAAATTATGTGTTGCATCTCTTTTGTTTTGGTCCACACAAATATAAGTGATCTTCTAGCAGCAGTGGTGTTGCAGAGAGAAATCGTACATGACGTCGACAAAGTAGTCAGCACTCGCGTCGTCGCTGTCGTACAGATCCATGAAGCGGATGTGACGCGCAGGAGAGGCCTCGGACCCCGAGCTGCAAGCGTAGTCATCCACAAAGTCGTACTCTTTCATCAGCGCTCGCTCTTCACTGCTACTGGTCGAGGTCTCTTCACTGCGTTGACGCTCGAGACGTCGTGCTTCCGCCTTCCTCCAGTTCCGCTTCAATCTCGCCGCAGTAGTATTGACGTAACTCGTGCAGCGAGTCAAAGGGGATCGTCCCCAGGAAGGACTTGTCCATCGCCAGGCGAATCAACGTGTCACAGACGCACTCGTCGCGGTTCAGTAGCCCCGAGCGGTACGGGGCCGTCAGTTCCTGCAGAGTCTCGTGGGAGACTTTGAACATCTCATACACGTCCAGCGCGTCGTCACACGCCATGATGCGAGGTTGGTTGAGCTTAAGTAGCACTAGCCCCACTCGCAGTAGGACATGGCTACCTTCACAGAAGAAGACGTCCCAAATCCGCATGACAGGCTCAAATGGCAGAGTGTTCAAAAAAAGACAGAGAAACCATTTCAGAGTGAAAGGCTCAAAGTCCACGCCCAGAGTTTGCAAGTGACTCGCCACAACTGGCAGCTTCTGCGTCACCAGATCCGAGAAGACTCGCTGGTCTGCACGACTGCCAGTCATCGTCCGAGTATGGTACTGTGGGGTGAGCTCCTCGACAATTGCTGCGAGTACCCAGAAAGCCTCCGCCTCTCCCATGTTCTGTAGCAATACTGCAGCCAGGAAATTCATACTTTGACAGTATCCCACCGCTGGGTTTCGTAGTGAATACGCCTGCAGGACACGACGCAGTTCACCGAAGCTGTCGCCATCTCCTGACAGTTCTTGTGATTGGCGCATCGAGGTTCGGAGTGCCAAAGGAAACGTCCTCGGCAGGTCCTTCTCGATGTCCATCTCCGCACACTTGCTCAGTGTATGAAGTCGATGTAGTAGCGCAGGATACGACTCCTTGGCTCCACGTCGAAGCTCCGCAGCGCCACTGCACATCCACCAGACCTGTCCACGGAGATGCGGAGGCACACCCGCCCTCAACAAGCCGTCGAACTGACGCGAGTGCAGCATCTGCTCTGCCGCTGAGGCAAAGGAAGACAACGCCATTTTAACCGTCTTGGCGGGCTTTGTGTCATCTTTCTGCGTACTTTCTTGGTGCTCAGTGAAGCGCTTTTGGTTTCCCTTCCACTTTTGACACAAACGCTCTTGAGCCCAGTCACGGACAGCAAAGCGCTCGCTCCACTTGCGTAGATGGCATCTGTGTAGATCCTCAGCAGTGTTAAGCTCGCTCGCTGTATGTTGCTGCACGTCCACAAGACATTGTAAAACTTGGTGTTCACAGCGACAAGCCAGTTCGACGTCCTCGGTCTTAAAAGAAGCCGTCGCAAGCCTAAAGCGGCGTTTCGGACGGAAACATGCTAGTTGACGTCCGTGTGTGCGTGCAGAGAGCGGTACTGGTGCCTCACGGCCTGCGCACTCGCCATTATCCGAGCTCTCATCCTTCATGTTCTCCGTCGGTTTATTGTCGGAAAAACACCTTCTAAATACTGAGCGCAAGTTTCGCAAAGAACAAGAAACGAAGATCCATGATTGGAAGAAAAAAAATGATGCGAAAAGGTGCGATGATGTTGAGCAGGATGTGTGCATTTGACTGCAGCATGTATGACATGGCATAGTTTTGGTTTTCGTCCGACTAAGTACGCTCAAATCCACGGAGATGAGCTGTTCTTCCTTCTCAACAAGTCTTGCTCGCATCATGTTGAGGGTATTGGCGTTGACTGCGAAGGCCTCCAAGCCTTTCACCCGCGCGCTGCATGCATCAGCGCCCTCGTCCTTCATCGTGCGTTCCCTGGACGATGTGCGGCAGAAGGATCGCGTCATCACCAGTGACGACGGCGCGCTCGAGACACGGTACGCACTTGCCATCAGCTGCGTATCTATAAAAAAAACTGACCATCACTCTTTGTTTTCTGTAACGTTGAAGTCGCTACTTGGTCCGCAACGACGAGTGTGGGTTTTCGGTGCAGCATGAAGTGCTGAAGAAGGGCACCCCTGTGCGCCTCGAGTTCCAGAACCACGTGTACGCGCTGCTGGTGACACGCGGCAACGGTCGCGTGCGGCTGCTGGACGTGGGCGAAGGCCCCGGTCAGGTCCAGGACGTGGCGGAGGGCTCACTTGTGGCGTTAACTGCGACTGAGGCCATCGAGATTGAGGCCAAATCCGACGAGTTGCATGCCGTGAGCATCATGAACCCGCCGGTGTTTGGCGTCGAAAAGAGAAACGACACGACGGGCGTATTCCCCGCCGTGGACCCCGATGGAGAGGCACTCGAGAATTTCAATCTGTCCAAGGTAGACCAACTATTCTCTGCTCCCGAGTCGCTCAAGGGTGGTAGTGCCCCTATGAAAGACGACCCGCTATTCTAAGTTGTAGGTAGCTCCAGACATGCGATGCAGATACAACGAAGATACAAATGAATTTGCGTCGACTCAAACACCTCGAAGTACACTACTAAACGCTACCAGATGCAAGTGCCAGGGGGAGGGGTAAATGGGTACATGAGCTTTCGGGCTGTTGTTTGAGTCAAACTTTGACTGCACAGGATTGGCGGCGCTGACGTGTTGTGTATGTCGTGCTAGCTTGCAGAGCCAGCAGCTTCGAGAGGTTCGTACAAACTAAAGGGGGGGGCTTAATAGGGTCGTTGACAAAATCTGAATCTCGGCAAGCAGTTAGCGCATCACCCTTTGTTGAATGCGCTAATAACGACCGATGAACGGTCGAAACGGCGAAAGCCTCATGTACTTTAGTTCCCGTTCACAACCATTATATTCCTTTACCGATTCGGTACTAACTTACCGCATCTAACGCATCGGGCCAACACGAACAGTACACTGCTCTATCTTCGGTCCCTGGTATGGAGAGTCCAAGTCTTCCCCCAGAGAAATGATAGGTCCCTGGTATGGAGAGTCCAAGTCTTCCCCCAGAGAAATGATAATAACCAAAGGGTGTGTATTCTCGACGAAAGGAAAGCGATTCCGCCCGTCCGCTTTCCCATCATGAGCAAGTCAGTAGCTGAATGCAAATTTGCTCGATAGAAGTGGGCAAGAATCTGGGTCAATGCAAGACCTCGTTGGGGTACGCTGGCAGGGGATGAGCATGTATTAACAGAGCGGCTACGAGCTTACTGCGATCTCAAGTTATACTACGGTATAATAATGCGTTGGGGCCAGCAAAGACTTTGAACAAAGGGACAGGCGAAGGAAACAGCCAACGAAGCAAAACATCTTTCGCTTGTGAATTAACAATGTAAAATACCAATAGTCTAAGTTTGAAACGGCTCAACTGTTACTACTGATGTCGATGTGATATAAGCCCGGTGCCAACCAAAGGAAAGGACATTGCATCGGTTTCTGTCCCTTGTTCAGCAAGAGCTTCTTAAAAAGGGGGTGCTGTCTCCTGAAGAGATTAGATGCGATATAATTATAGTGACGCCCGGTTAGAGTGGTAGGCACTTCGGAGCTCAAGTCCGATCTCATTCATCAACCTTCTCCGGTCCAGTCGAGTCCTCGTCTCGACCTGTACATACCTGTCTCTGCGAAGATCCACTAGCTTGGTATACATCTTCACCAGCAACAGCAACAATGCTTTCCTGCAAGACGTTCCTCCGACTGGTCACTGTGGCGGTCGCCCTCTCCGATTTCTCCGCTCATGCCGGTAGTGTTCGTGCGGTCGAGTGCGAGGTGGCTAGCGACGTTATTACCCCAGATGCAGCCGTCCCGACCACTTCGTACATCAAAAGTAGCAGCTCGATTACACCAGAATCAGGGGCTCAAGGCTATACTCCGACCGCCATCGAAGGCCAGTTTGCTTTCTACCAAAACGGCGCTGTCGCTACTGGAGGCGATGGCTTAGTCGGTAGTGGCCACGCTCCTAGTCTACTAATAGGCAACGGTGGAGCTTTAGACTCAGGCGTCGTCAACGGTGACGCCACCTCCACCTCAAACGAAGCCGGCGTCGCTACTACCACCGTCAATAGTGGGGTCATCACCAGCACTGACGTTGGTACCACCGCGCTCTGGAACGGCGACGATATCGTCACCACAACGGATGGGGACATCGCTACGACCGCGAACGGTGACATCGTTCATCTCATTAACGGAGGTGATACGGTCACCACCACAAACGGGGCCATCCCCACTCTCTCGAATGGAGATGATGTAGTCACCACTACAAATGCTGGTATCCCGGTGCCCTCAAACGGAGCTGGCACCGCCACCGGTGCTTACGGTGACATCCCTGCTGGAGCATACGCTTCCACTGGAGAGAGCGCATATACTCCTACCAGCTATGCCGGTGAGAGCGGCTACACTCCTCCCAATAGCCACGCCGGTGAGAGTGGCTATACTCCACCCAAAAGCTATGCCGGTGAGACTGGCTACGCGCCTCCCAGTAGCTATACCGGTGAGAGTGGCTACACGACTCCCACTAGCTATGCCGGTGAGAATGGCTACGCGCCTCCCAGTAGCTATACCGGTGAGAGTGGCTACACGACTCCCAATAGCTATGCCGGTAAGAGCGGCTATAAGGCTCCTACCAACTACGGCAACAGTGAATCGGCGTACGCCGTCAGTACGCCACGCCCGTACACGGACAACGATCAGAATGGAAATTATTACAGCAACGAGAACGGAGGCACGGAGCCGGGCGCTTATGGTACCATCCCGGGAAATTACGAAGGTGGTGTCGACACCGATACAAGTGTGCCCTGCAGCACGACGGGCAGTGAAGCGGGTGGTAGCGTATCTGGCAGCGTCGATACAAGCTTGCCGTGTAGCACGAAGGGGAGCGCGGGTAGCGATACCGATACCGATACTAGTTCATCCGGCAGCCTCGACGGTAGTATGGCTGGCAGTGAGAGCGGAAGTGTCGACGCAAGCTTGCCCGGTAGCACGTCGGACAGTGCTAGTGCAAGCGAATTCGGAAGTGAGGGCCCGACGATCACAGATATCGTTCCTGTGATCACTGACATCGTTCCGGTCATCACTGACATTGTTCCGGTCATCACCGACATCGTTCCGGTCATCACGGATATTGTTCCTGTCATCACCGACATCGTTCCTGTCATCACGGATATTGTTCCTGTGGTCACCGACATCGTTCCTGTGATCACCGACATCGTTCCTGTGATCACCGATATTGTTCCAGTGATCACGGATATCGTTCCGGTCATTACGGATATCGTCCCTGTGATTACTGACATCGTTCCTGTGATCACCGATATTGTTCCCGTGATTACGGATATCGTTCCGGTCATAACTGATATCGTTCCTGTGATCACCGACATCGTTCCGGTGATTACCGACATCGTTCCAGTGATCACGGATATTGTTCCTGTAATTACCGACATCGTTCCTGTGATCACCGACATCGTTCCTGTGATCTCGGATATTGTTCCTGTGATCTCGGATATTGTCCCTGTGATCTCGGATATTGTTCCGATAATCACCGACATTATACCGACATTGCCTCCTCTAATCCCGACGCTGCCTCCTGTTGTCCCGACATTGCCCCCGGTAATCCCGACGCTGCCTCCGGTTGTTCCGACATTGCCTCCGCTTATCCCGACGCTGCCTCCGGTTATCCCGACATTGCCTCTACTTCCGAACCTATTCGGGCGTCGTCTGCGCGAAAACGTTTAGACGTCTCCATATTTAAGTAGCATTCCTACTTGTGAATAGATTCTCTTTTCTTTCTTAGCTTCAATATGCGCTGTCCATTGTGTAGGCTAACTGGAAATGAGTGTTTGTCGATGCTTGGCTGTTTGCTGGGCTGCAGCTTCTAGGCTAACAAGAGTTTGTTGGTTATTCTTTGGCGAAGGAGCGTCTCGATATCATTCAATCCACAATTGGCGGGACCGCACATTAAGAAAGATGATACGGGAGCTTAAGATAACATCAAATCAATGGTGTACGTTGGCGGAGGATGATATCTCGGCGGTTGATCTCTACCACGAGATGCGGTGGTGTCGGGCCGTTGATCAACATGTAGGAGATCACAAAAAAGGTGTAGTTTTTGTAAACCTCTGAAAGAGCGCACTGGTCTGTACAGCACAGCACAGTGCCTCACTGAAGTTGGCTCTCACACTACATGAACACGAACTAACAAAGCGGTTACGAGTTAGCTGCGATCTCAGATTAAAGAGACTTGGGAGCATCAAAGAGTCTTTGACAAAGACCGTACAAGGATAAATAATAACGGTAGACAGGCAGCACCTCGGACGGGGCTGCGCCGCTGCGTTTCGATTAACAAAACCAACAGGAAAGGGGTGTTAGGAAACGGCAGTGTAGCCAACTTAGATGGCGTTGATTACACCTCTATTTTTTTGGAGCTCGTCAGACTTTGACTGTCGATAACGTCGCGGTTGCTTAATCTTCCTGAACAACATAATGTAGGCCTAAATCGAGCTTTGAGGGATGTTAAGGACAGAAAATGAACCTGAAAGGCGACACCTCATCAAACCAAAACAAAATTGGGGTCAAGACACAAGGAGGTGAAACGGCTAACCGGTTACTTCGAATGCCGACATGATACAGGCGACGATACCGACCAAAGGGAAGGACGTAGTGTGTTTCGCATCGGTTTCTGTCCCTTGTTCAGCATGAGCTTCTTAAAGGGGGGGGAGTTGTCTCCTGAGGAGATTAAAGGCGATATGACTTGTGGCGCCCGTTCGATTTACAAGAAGTGGTAGGCACATCGGAGCTCAAGTCCGATCTCATTCATCAACCTTCTCCGGTCCAGTCGAGTCCTCGTCTCGACCTGTACATACCTGTCTCTGCGGAAGTTGGTATACATCTTCACCAGCAACAGCAACAATGCTTTCCTGCAAGACGTTCCTCCGACTGTTCACTGTGGCGGTCGCCCTCTCCGATTTCTCCGCTCATGCCGGTAGTGTTCGTGCGGTCGAGTGCGAGGTGGCTAGCGACGTTATTACCCCAGATGCAGCCGTCCCGACCACTTCGTACATCAAAAGTAGCAGCTCGATTACACCAGAATCAGGGGCTCAAGGCTATACTCCGACCGCCATCGAAGGCCAGTTTGCTTTCTACCAAAACGGCGCCGTCGCTACTGGAGGCGATGGCTTAGTCGGTAGTGGCCACGCTCCTAGTCTACTAATGGGCAACGGTGGAGCTTTAGACTCAGGCGTCGTCAACGGTGACGCCACCTCCACCTCAAACGAAGCCGGCGTCGCTACTACCACCGTCAATAGTGGGGTCATCACCAGCACTGACGTTGGTACCACCGCGCTCTGGAACGGCGACGATATCGTCACCATAACGGATGGGGACATCGCTACGACCGCGAACGGTGACATCGTTCATCTCACTAACGGAGGTGATACGGTCACCACCACAAACGGGGCCATCCCCACTCTCTCGAACGGAGATGATGTAGTCACCACCACAAATGCTGGTATCCCGGTGCCCTCAAACGGAGCTGGCGTCACCACCGGTGCTTACGGTGACATCCCTGCTGGAGCATACGCTTCCACTGGAGAGAGCGGCTATACTCCTACCAGCTATGCCGGTGAGAGCGGCTACACTCCTCCCAATAGCCACGCCGGTGAGAGTGGCTATACTCCACCCAAAAGCTATGCCGGCGAGAGTGGCTACACGACTCCCACTAGCTATGCCGGTGAGAATGGCTACGCGCCTCCCAGTAGCTATACCGGTGAGAGTGGCTACACGACTCCCAATAGCTATGCCGGTAAGAGCGGCTATAACGCTCCTACCAACTACGGCAACAGTGAATCGGCGTACGCCGTCAGTACGCTACGCCCGTACACGGACAACGATCAGAATGGAAATTATTACAGCAACGAGAACGGAGGCACGGAGCCGGGCGCTTATGGTACCATCCCGGGAAATTACGAAGGTGGTGTCGACACCGATACAAGTGTGCCCTGCAGCACGACGGGCAGTGAAGCGGGTGGTAGCGTATCTGGCAGCGTCGATACAAGCTTGCCGTGTAGCACGAAGGGGAGCGCGGGTAGCGATACCGATACCGATACTAGTTCATCCGGCAGCCTCGACGGTAGTATGGTTGGCAGCGATAGCGGAAGTGTCGACGCAAGCTTGCCCGGCAGCACGTCGGACAGTGCTAGTGCAAGCGAATTCGGAAGTGAGGGCCCGACGATCACAGATATCGTTCCTGTGATCACTGACATCGTTCCGGTCATCACTGACATTGTTCCGGTCATCACCGACATCGTTCCGGTCATCACGGATATTGCTCCTGTCATCACCGACATCGTTCCTGTCATCACGGATATTGCTCCTGTCATCACCGACATCGTTCCTGTCATCACGGATATTGTTCCTGTGGTCACCGACATCGTTCCTGTGATCACCGACATCGTTCCTGTGATCACCGATATTGTTCCAGTGATCACGGATATCGTTCCGGTCATTACGGATATCGTCCCTGTGATTACTGACATCGTTCCTGTGATCACCGATATTGTTCCCGTGATTACGGATATCGTTCCGGTCATAACTGATATCGTTCCTGTGATCACGGATATTGTTCCTGTAATTACCGACATCGTTCCTGTGATCACCGACATCGTTCCTGTGATCTCGGATATTGTTCCTGTGATTTCGGATATTGTTCCTGTGATCTCGGATATTGTTCCTGTAATCACCGACATTATACCGACATTGCCTCCTCTTATTCCGACGCTGCCACCTGTTGTCCCAACACTGCCCCCGGTAATCCCGACGCTGCCTCCTGTTGTTCCGACTTTGCCTCCGGTTATCCCGACATTGCCTCCGGTTATTCCAACGCTGCCTCCTGTCTTGCCGACGCTGCCTCCTGTCTTGCCGACGCTGCCCACCCTAAGGCGCCTCGGCGCCTATGATCACCCAGGTCGTTACGGGGATGCCGGGGCTGGAGTCTCGGCTGTTCCTTCGATCAAAGATATTATCGATGTGATCACCAGCATTATACCAACGCTGCCTACTCTGATTCCGACACTGCCTACTCTGATTCCGACATTGCCGACTCTTATTCCGACATTGCCTCCAGTAAACCCGACGCTGCCGCCTCTTGTTCTGACATTGCCTCCGCTTATCCCAACGCTGCCTCCGATTGTCCCGACGTTGCCTCCTGTTGCTCAGACACTGCCACAAATTATTTCATCGCTGGTTCCGACGTTGCCTCCTGTTGTTGCTGAGACATTGCCAAAAATTATTTCATCGCTGGTCCCGACTCTGCCCACATTCGGTAGGGACTTGAGCGTCGAACTCAACGCTGACAATGGCGATCAGCCAGTTCGTGGCGGGGACGCTGGCACTGGAGTCTCGGCTGAAGCCGATGGTGCAAACCAGCTCACCAACCGCCACCTCCGGAGTAACTTCTAAGCTTCCGAACACCAGAGTATCATTCAACTTGTGAATACATTCCCTTTTTTTTAAAAATAATCTACATTGGGGAGTAATTGGTCGACGGTGTAGGCTAGCTGGAAATTAGTGATTGTCGACGTTTTAACCGTTTGCTGGGCTCCGGCTTCAAGGCTAACGAGAGTTGTTGACTATTCATTCCTTGGCGACGCGATATAATTTTGGCGGAGTTTAGTAGTGAGAGGGACTTACATAAAACCAAATCATTGTTGTACGTTGTTATGCACGATATCTCGGCGGTTGATCTTAATCGCGAGATGCACGTCGATCTACTTATTTATAACCCGCTATCCTTCAAGCAACATCATATGGATGAATATACACGTCTTAGTTAGGTAGGATTGTGATCAGGTTAGGGGTTGTCAAATTTACGCCAATTAAATATCTTCATTTTCATCTTTTGGCCAATGGCATCCCATGTGGGTAGGTCTCTTATTCGGACAGCTTCCGACAAATATTTGTCGGAAGCCCAGCCAAAATATTTATGGCTGGATACGAATACTCAGTATAAAAAGTATTTTTGAAATATTCTTGTCATTCCGACAACAAGGTCCTCCAGTAGGATTCCTACTTCGAAGGAGCAAGTATCAAAGTACGTGTTTAGGAAAATGATAAAATAACATGCCTCAACAAAAACTATTGAAACCGATGTAAGCTTAAATACACATGTACATGGTCTGCATGCTTTTTTTTAAATAGCGTCTTTGCTAACCTCTCATTGTGATTCTAAAGGCCTAGGCTCGCTGCCACCGCTATGCCACTCTTTTTAAATTAAAAGTTTCAATAATTTATTGCGTTAGATTTAATAATATATATTTGTTTTATAGTATATGTGGTGTCTGGTACCTGAATCTGTCTGTTGTTCCGAGCTGTCGAAAACATGTCGGAAAGGGGTAGGGAATCGGAACGGTTGCGATGGAGATACGTGTTGCTCACCCGAGTGCTCATGGCGCTAACTGCTAACCCTTTCGCGATAGCTCTTTTCTAAAAAAAACGTTGAACATTTCAATGCATTGCTCGGTAATTATACTTTGCGTACGCAAGCCACGTATTTACTTATAGCCGTAGCATACAAATGTATAAATCCAACCTGAATACTTAGAATCTACATAGCCGAAAATTCTTTTCAACACCGCTTCAGTCACACTTCAAAGTTGAATACATGTGTTTTCTATTTTGTACTTCGTAGTAAGAACCACATATATAGCTAAGCTTATAAATAGCCCCCCCCCTTCCTCTTCAACAGCAAACATCTCCAACTGGATGCAAACCCGGGTGAATATCATTAAGATTGTTAGGGCCGCAAAGTGATGACGCCTAAGTCTCTAACGAGGAAAACAGATACCTGAAGATGCGACCTAAAACGCTTAATTCTGTAATCTGCTATCTACGGTCAAAGTTTGATGAGCTTCAGAAAACAGAAATGTAACAACGCCATATAATTTGGCTACCTTGCAGGGAACCCGAAAATGCAATAGTTACATCGTTGTGAGCTGGGTAAATTAATAATTCAATTATTTGCATTATTCCGGCCCATACTCGAGCGTACCTTGTCCACCGCACTCAGGTCCCACAAGTCGCGATTGTAGTTCAGAAACATTATCATCTCAAGCCTCGCTGGAGACATTCGCTTCCGTAGATCAGACAGCACCAGCTTAGCAAGAGAGAAGAAGAGCTCAAAGTCGTTTGACGTTGGCGAGATGTACGCGACGTCAACGTAGTGCGAGCGCTTCACGACCTTGCGTTTCTTGAACGCTGCTCTCACAATAGAGCACTCCTCGGCGGCTCTTGAAGACGACCGTTCGAGATCAAGCGACCTAAATTCAGCACAGGTTAATTTTCCTGCAACGTTTAGCGCCTCCCCACGCTGTAACTTGACCAGACCTTGCTCTCAATTGGGGTTGTTCACTATAGATGCCGTTGTTGACAGCCGCGGCTTCAGGGCTGGGTTCTCCTTTACAACCTGGTCAAAAAGACGTCGCGAAGCGGAAAAGTTAGCGTAGACTTCTGCAGCTCCTTGGTAACGGCCTCAAAAGCTGCTAAATCTTTAAGAAGCGCCTTGACGCGCTCTGGCTCCGCACGCCTTAGTAGGAGAGGTTGCACATCATACTCCACAAGGACATTGAGGCCCAGCTGAACATTTGCCGGCTGGAGTTTGGCGTAGCGCTCGACCATCTCGTACGTGCTCGACCATCTGGTGTCGTTCCTCAGCAGAGGTTACAGATGGGAGACGCGGCGACGAATGGCTCTACCTTTGATCGTACGCAGCTTGGACATCAAGGTATGGAACTTGGTTATCAACTCGTCTTCGTTCTTGAGGAAGTCCTTGACTGCCAAATTAAAGCGGTGGCTAGCGCATTCGATTAGCGGTATAGCACCCTCCTTCCGGCCAATGTACTGGTTAATGGAGCAGTTATCGCCGACCATGAACTTCACTGCGCTCCAGGGCTTGTTGTATTGCGACAGCGTATCAGCGATTAGGTCGTACTGGCTCTGTGCGCTAAGATCTTCCTCCGTCTCTACGGGCGAGAAAGCTAACAGTACGAAGCGACGAGATAAGCACTCTAAGTCCTCGTAGTACTCACTGGCCGCGCTGCTACCATTTTTACCGGTATTACCGGTGGCACTATCAAGTACCGCAAAGATTGCGACGTAGTGACGGTTGCTGCTTGTCCATCCGTCCAATACGAGACCAAATGATTCGGGTAGCTAACTGGCTACACGGCCTCAACTACCTCGAACAGCAATACTATATAGCGCAGTAGCTTCCTCTGACACGGTAGAAAGTGCCACATTCAGCCGGGTGAGCCTTCGCTCCACAATGCAAACGGGAGGCGCTCACAAGTCACCCATTTATGACAACGGTACAGATCACGCGTACGCTGGCTGACTAGGCGAAGGTTTAGGGAATTCTGGCGGCGCGCAGCTTCTTGGGCTTCTTGCTCATAGTCCTCGTGGTTGCGTCGTAAGTGGTTCAGTAGATTCGTGTAGCCGTTGCCCTTCTTGTACTGCTTGCCGCAGGTCGTGCAGCTGTAGAAGCCGTCACCGACCCCAGTGAAGAGCATTGAGCAAATTTGGCTGCTCGTTAGGACCATGATGGGCAGAGAGGGCACTGTAGCGGTAGAGGGGTGTCCAGAAGACTGTAGATTGAATTCTGAATGGAATATTTTAGTAGGTTTGGACGTGGTCGGCAGTCTGTATTGTAAATGGCTGGTAGCAAGCGACCCTGTGGACTTTGCTGGCCTGTATCTTGGCAATTCATGAATAAATTGTAATAAATTAAAAAATGAATTGAGGGGTAAGAATTAATAATTAAATTAAATAATTAGGATTAATTTTTATGCGTATTTTTTTCGGGTTCCCTGCTATCTTGGTCGTTTCCTAACACCCCTTACCTGTTTTATTGATCGAAACGGAGGGGCTTAGGTGCTGCTTGTCAGCATCCGCCTGTCTACCGTTATCGGTCCGACTCCCGCAGTTCAGATTGCAGGCACACACCTAAATCAGAGACGTCATCCCAGAAACTAGGTAAGCGGCTCCACCCGCAGCAATCGGGGAGTCTCCTTAGCTCAGATATTCCGTACTCGCACCGACGAAGGACGAGGGCACTCCGTGCTCGTACTTGAGCTCAACGTCGCTGCGGGAGGTAAGCAACAAAGGTTTATCTCACAAGCTCGTCCAGTTACGCATTGAAACCGCCTGGCAGACGCTCTAAAGGATAATATTTTCATTTATAACGACGTGCAAACGTTGAACTGTCTTCTAATATAAGTCTAGAAATGCTCACCAGGGTGCGCGTGCATCACCGATGTCGGATTATTGTAGGATAAGTCCCTTCGGTCCGGAGACCCGAACCTCTTAGAAAGGTAATAATTGAGCGCACCAATGAGACTACAGAAATGAACCAAAATCCATGGATTTAGTCAATCCCATCGCACTAGGGCTAGGTGTTTAGCATTCCAACTTAATTCCGGAACTGTCTGGAATCATTGCGTCTTATCGAATAAAGGGCAATACAAATCTAGCACGTTACGAGCACTTGCTGGATAATTGCACTTTGTGACGGACCGCTGTAGCGAGCATACCAAGGCTTCAGCGCCATCGTAGCATTACATGTACTAGTATGAAACTGCAGCTTGAAGGTTGTACACTTGCGGGTTTGACATCCCGCCGCTAATGGGCTACTTAATTACAGTACAGCTAAAATATTTTTCTTGACGTCCACGTAGTCGATACAGGCGCGCAGGATGCCCCTGATCGCCTTGACGTCGTTAGCCCGGGCCATTGCCTGGGTGTGGTGTTAGTACGTGGTAAACGGTCCCGTGACGTTAAGCGCCTGTGCGATGGTGCTAGCTGCTTGATCGTGCCCACGTACAGTTGCTGGACTGGATCCACCAGTGTGGCGTCTCCAGAGTGTAGGCGGGCGTGCTTGGCGTGTGGCGTAGATGGATATGGCGCTGTCCTTGGCCAAACTGTCGAACTCGATCTCCTTAGCATTCACGACGACCATGGACACGGCGAGGGAGCGCGACATCTTGTCTGCGTTGCTGTTCAGGTAATCCTTCAGATGGCTCTCATCCGAAGCCACAAGCATAGCAGCCTCTGACAGCACGTAACAGGGAGGGACAAGAAAAAGGTACTACACACACCTCGTGCACTAACTTCAGAGTCGAGATCAGATCCATCACCTCCGTCCGGCTGGTCCACGTACAGCGAGTCCAGCAGAACCACGAATGCGCTGTAGCCCTTGCACTGGTCGATGCTCTCCGGCAGGATGTTAGCGCCTGACTCAGAGCGGATTGGCCAGGTTGCTCGGGTCTGGCCATCCACCACCACGATCATGTCTTAGAGGATCTCGAGGTCCCCGTTGTCCAGCACCCGTGCTCCAAGCTCACCTCCGCGACGTACTAGTTCCTGCTCTCGGATGGTAACTGACCACGGTGGACAGATCGTGCACGTACTCACGCCGCACCAATTCAACTCTACCAACTTGCAAGAGATCCACCACGAATTCACATCAAACCGTCGCCCACACTACACCGCCACGCTGTAAGGATCGCGCCGAACACGTATAACTTGGCCATCAATATCAACGGCGCCTCGCCCTCCCATATACCCACCCGAATCGCGATGGTTCATTATCACCCGCTGCCGCTCCACACTCGCTCACCGCCGTCGTGCCGCTCGCCCTTCACGCTCGCTCGCCCACCACCAGTGCCACCGTCGCCGCCGCCTCCACGACCGCTCCACACTCGCTCACCAGCTGTCCACTAGATTACGCACTGATGCCGTCGACGGGAGAATCTAACGAGGGCAGGGCCCTCGCATAAAAAAGAGCAGTAAGGAAAACTACAGTTTACCGGTATCTTTACCTGTAAATACCAGTATAAATCGTTCCCGTTGCAGAGACCGTTCCCGTTGCAAATCGTTCCCGTCCCAACGACCGTTCCCGTTGCAAAAACAAAAACGTATTACTTTCAGATTATAAGCAAACTCATGAACTCGGTCACCGGGCCCTTGCTGCCGAATGGATATCTGGCCGTGGGCCTCGTCCTACCGGATTGCGTTATACCTACACTACTAGCCGAAGCTAAGGCCCGTACGTACACTGGAGTTTTCAATCGTGTCGGAGGTGGCGACGACTCCTACCGCCAACAGTCTCGCGTGGATAGTGCTGCGTTGTCGCCAGCTCTCTTGGAGCTGCGTAAGGCGCTGGCTGTAGTCATTGGAATGCTGCACCCGGGTTGGAAGCCAGGCGTATTCTCGTTCATGCGCTCGAAGCCAGGCGGAACAGAGCAGGAGACCCACCAGGACTACCAAGGCGACGGCATAGCTCGTGCCCGCGCAGCCCATCCCGGCGGAGTTCCAGCAAGCATGGTGCTAGCTTTGCAGCCCAATACGAGGCTTCGAGTCTTCGACGGATGCTTCGCTGCCAGGGACGACAGCAAAGAGCGCATTGTGGAAATTCCCGTGGGATTTTGCCTAATCTTTAGAGGAGATCTCATTCACAGCGGTGTTGCTTTCATCAAAACTTACTACCGTGTACACTGCTATCTAAGCTACGACGACGTGCATTGGACACCTGATGTGGTCCAAAATGTTCTTCCGAGCCATGGTGTGTGTGGTTTCTGTCAAGATGCTAAAAGGGCCTGGGCTGCGCAAACATCGGTATTTATGTGAGCAGAATCCCGATGGAGCTTCGAACCGGTTGAAGCGAAAGCGCGAGGGCAAGGAGGGTGTCTTCAAATGCGAGTTGTGCCCCAACGTCGAATACCCCGTGGCGAGAAGTTTGCGTTCGCACAAGAGCAGAGTCCACGGTAGCGGCCAGTAGGTGGAGTAAATCTCATTTCATCGCATTTGAAGGTTCATATTGCAAATTTCCTTTTTTTTAATTATTGGAAGTTGAAGTAAAATTTAAAGTTGAAGTTGCAAGAAAACATATATTTAGACGTATAGCTTCTATCTGGTCTACTGCTTCTCGTTTGGCTGCTGGTCAGTAAAGAAGATACGGCCGGCTAAACCCCATGAACGCGGTGGTAGGAAAGCGTCTTCGAAACTCAAAATTACGTCTCCTTCGTGGATGCCGAACTGCTGCATATCAATCGGGGGCAGACCTATCATTGTAGGTGGAGTAGCAGGATGACTAAAATCCATGCGCTCACGGAAAGTTGGCTCGCGTCCAGTTCCTCTTTTGTCTTGATTCTTTCGATGCGGGGCTTGTCGTTTTCCTTTTCGAATCGTGCGGATTGTAGCTGGTTCTTGAATTCTTGGCACAGTGTGCTTATCTTGATCCCTATAAATCCACCAATGCTTGTCGAAATCATGAGGAGCTAAGAACCGTGGCCCGTTGGACTCGACGATCGAAATTAACTCGTGCAGGCATGGTCTGCCGTGTACGACACGGAAAACACCTGAGCACTTGCTACGCTGAACCCCGCTGCTTACTATCTTCTCCGCATCTTTCCACAGCCTCTCTGTTTCTCCAAGAGCTACTCGTGTGATAATACGAGCTACTCTGGAATAACGGCTCTTCTGGAATATGTGAGGTGCAGTGACTGCGTTTTGCTCCATAAGTAAGCGCGTCTCCGACGCCGCGATCGTCCACCAACTCAGAAGCTTCTTAAACACCGTGTACAAATCTCCTTGACTCGATTCCAATTTGCTCTTGATCTTGGCATGCGTTCCTTCAACTGTGGAAGTATCGCGGACATCAAAGTGCATGTACTTGTTTGTACAGTGTTTGACAATCCTTGTCTTGTATTTCCACCAATGCAGATCGAGGTAATCTGACACTGGTTTGCACTTCTCAATTAGATCCTCACGCTTGGCATTGAAGTTGGCTTCTGTTTCGGCGTCCACAGCCTCGTAGAAACTCGCCATAAATGAGTTCGTTTGCCATGAATTCTCCTTCTTTGGTTGACCAGGAGCAGGGTTCTCAACGTCCACCTGACCTAAATGCTTTCTTGCCATGGCCTCGACATTCTTGTTCATGTGCCAACGGCAGACCATTGATGGAATACCTGGAAATACTCGGTCGAGAGCATTGAGACACGCCAGATCGCGGTCCGTCAAGATCACCCGCGCCGGATCGATATCGTTCTCGATCATTAACAGTCGCAGCATATTGAAAGCCCACACAAAATCTTCATCCTTTTCACCGGGGAGCCAACACTGCGCAACCGGAAGAACCGAGTTAGCCCCGGTGATCACGATGATATTGAGCAAGGGGAGGCGGTATTTGTTTGTCTTGTAGGTACAGTCAGCTACCAGAACGTCGAAGTGAAACTTGAACAGCGCAGTAGTCGCTGGGTGGGCCCAAAAGAGATGAGTGACTTCGTTTGTCTCGGGGTTAAGGCGAAACTTGTAGAAGAACTTGTGCTTAACGAGTTCCTGAAACAGGGCCTCAGTTGCCGTTCTAGATGCCAAGTCGTGTCGACGGCTTGCATCCTTGGCGTTAGAAATGTCCTTGGCAACGATGAGAAAGCGTGGGTCTGCGCTTAGAACTGTTGCATGAATCGTCGAAGGCGTGGCCCCGACTGCTGTCTGAAGCTCAACCAAATCCAGAGTGTGTGAGGCCAGTGGTTGTGATGTTGCTTGGATGGCCCGACGCCTATGCTGCGCATGTACGCGAACATCCCGCGAAGGTTGATGGTTATGATGCGTGCTTCGAGCAGTATGAACAATCTTCCACTGGCCGGCAGTGTCATCTTTAAATACAGCCCTAATCCCTATCCGCATCGGGCAAGCCGAGCGCGTAGCGTACGCTTCCGATCATGCTCGGTCAGGTGTTGAGTGTTCTTAGGGGCCCCTGCACGGTCACACTCGTAGTTACGAGCCCAAATTTCGCGTTCGGGGCCACCCTTGTACCGAACACGTCGGCGAGAGACGTTGAAGCCGTGATCTAGCGTCCACTGGTGCAGCGCGGCTTCAGCGGCATCGTGAGAGCTGTAAGTGGTCTCTGGGGGCGGCTGAATAGCGTGAAGGGGGAGGTTGTTGCCGCTCATGGCTAATCAAATTGTATTTGGTGACCTTTCGTTCGTCTATAATCTTCGTCTACAGCTTACAGCCATTCGTGTACACGAAAGTACCGGTTTATACCGGTAGGTACATCACAATCACACATGGACCTTTTGTGCGAGGGTCCTCCGGATGAGGGCCCTCGTTAGATTCTCCCGCCGTCGACCTATCCCACTTAACCGCTCCCACCGCCATCGCCATCAAAATAAAATTTAATTCATGCTCTGGGTCGCTCTTTTTATCAAACTTTTGCCAACCACAAATTATGTGAATTGGTTGGTCTGTCCGGAATGAATAATCCTCGTAGCTTGAATCGATGTGATTGCTTCAATTTCAATCAAATCGTATGGGCACCATTCCGGATTCCGGCCAATTACTGCAGCTGCAGATGCGCAAGTGACACTTGAAGATCACAGGTGTTTGAAATCTTTGACGACAATCTGAGCTGACTATTCATCCTTGCATGGTCTTTTATCCTCCAAACTCTTCTGTTGCTAGTGTGGGTTTGCTTATATAGTGTAAAAAAGTCCGTGAAGGGCAGCAAATGTATTGTTATTTATTCAATAGTTAACAACACATTTGCTGCCCTTCACTGCTTTTTGTGAACAATAGATTATATTGCTCCCCTTTCCTGTGAATTAAGCATGAACGAAGCATTTCGATGTCGAGTAGACGGAGTTTCTATCTAGAAATAACTTAAACGTTGTCATACTCGTACTGATGGTAATTTACTGACTCAACGCAAAACCAAAGTAACAGCTTCTTGTAGAACGCGAGCTCGTCAGTAAGCAAGCGGCATTTCTCCTGTGACATAATGATCTTCTGCTTAAACAAACCTTAATACTCTTGCAGTGAGTTATGGAGGCATCCGATGTGCGTTTATTGATGCTCAGCCTCGTTTCACATGCGCGGTTCTTCATCTCGAGCTGGCTACACGCCACGTTACACAGATTTGCCTGGAACTCCAGCTCCTCAAATATGGTACCCGCTGCGAAAGCGGCAACAAGGGAGCCTCGAATACCCTGTCGCTCTCTCTGTTCACTCGCGATGACATAACAGCTTCCGCCCACATCGGCTGCGGTAGTAGCACATCCAGTAAGTGGGCCCTTGTACGGTCTTGCACTTTATTTCTATTGCGGGGGTCTGGAGGTGCAGCCCCCAGATAAGGCTCGAGTTGATCCTTTTTTGAGCTGACCCGAGTATGGGAACCGCTCAACGCGCGGTGCATCTCTGGCGAGAAAGCGCAGAGCCGTAATTTGCAAGCTGTGCATGACGTTTGAAGGTGTTGATGTCCAAGGTGAAGCTTTTGAAGCAGGAAGAAATATTAGACTCGAACAAGATCACTAAGCGATTTGTGCTGATACTTATCGGTTTTTAATCAATGAATTTACTTATGAACATGTTCGGGTTCCCACGAACAGAAAATAAACCTGAAAGGCGAAACCCAAACAAGAGTGGGGAACGACTTAAGGTCAGCTGCCTAGGTGTGAAACGGCTAGTCGGTTACTCTGAAAACCGACGTGATACAGGCCATGACGCCGACCTAAGGAAAGGACGTTGTGTG